GGCTGTTCAGTAGCTCTCCAAAACACGTGACATTTAGGCCTTTTATTCTGCCAGGATTTTTTTTTTCCCTTGGCACATAGGAGTCTTTCAACTCCTTGTGGCCACTGAACTAGGGGCCTCAAGCATGCAAGTATGCATTGAACTCAGGGCCTTGAACTTTCAAGGCTGGTGTTTTCCTGTTTGAGGCCTGCCTCCAGCTTGGCTTTTTGCTGATTATTTTTGGAGACAGAGTCTTGTAGACTTCTCTGTCGGGCCTGCCTTTGAACTACAAGCTTCCAGATCTCAGCCTCCTGAGGATTATAGAGGTGAGCCGCTGGGACCTGACCTGTAATTTTGTTCCTGAGATAGGGTCTCTCTCATTTTTGCCTAAGCTTGCGTGGAACTGATGCTCCTCCTTTCCCTACCTCCTCCCCGGAAGCTGGGATTACAGGTGTGCACCATTCTGCCTGACATTGCTCTCTACACCTGCCTCCCCTCACGCCTCATAGAGGGGAAAACAGACCCCACCCGGGCGCTCACTGCTCTGCCTCAGCTTCTGTGGCTGGCCCAGATGCAGCTGCTCTGACTGCCAGACCCACATGCCCCACCCTTCCGCCTTCCCTCCCTCCCACTTCCGGTATATTCTGTGGTGCTGCCAGCCTGGTCATGGCGGACCCTTCTAGCCCATGGAGGAAGCAGCGGTGGACTGCCGCAAGGCTCATCCCTGGCGAGCAGGGACCTGAGGTATGTTGGCCTGTCTTCCCCACCCCACCTATGTCCCAGACCTCCACGCCACCTTTCAACCCCCTGCGCAAAAGTAGGGGGCTCCTTTGGTCTGAGTTGGAAGAAATGTTCCAGATTCTGCAGCCATGGGTTTACCAGCTAGGGACTCCCCCCTGCTCCACCCCTACACTCTCCTCTCCTTCCCCCAAGCCTCTTCCCAACATCAGTAGGAGTGCTTGTTACAGATGGTTTGCCACGCATGGTGGCTCACGCCTGTAATCCCAGCCCAAAGGAGGCTGGGCAGGAAGATGGCTGGCTCCAGGCCATCGCTGGGGCTAGGCAAGCAGAGACCCTGTCTTCAAACAAAAGAAAACCCACATTGCTCCTGGCCCTGTCAGCCCCAGCGGGTCCGTCAAGGGCTGCACGTGGCACAAAGCTCAAGCGCGCCCAGGAGTCAATTCTAAGCTGCAAACTATCCACAGCTGGGCAGAGGCGTGAGCCAATGGAAGGAAGGGGGCCTGGAGAGGAGGAGGAGGAGGAGGCAGCTCCCCACCAGGCCTAAGGGGATGGGGGGGGCCCAGTCTCCTCATCCCACCTCTCCCCTTTGCTTCCATTGCCGGGCAGCTGGTGGAGGAAGGGGCCACGCTGGGGGACGGGCAGGGACAGCTTCAGGATGAATTGCCCCGAGGGGGGAGGGCAGAGTGGGGGTCCCATTCACACAATAGATGCTCATTTTGCCTCAGGGTTGCTGTCCAGGCACTGGGGGTTCTGAGATCCGAGGTCAGGCTTCCACACCATAGGTAGAGCTTACTAGTCTCCTTCAGGCTGACTTGTCTCTGGGCCTCAGTTTCCCCCTCCGTGAAATGGCCACGTGATGGGCAAGTGATCATCTTACAGTTCCAGAGGTCAGAGGTGCAAACTGGGTCTCACAGGGCCAAGGTTTCCGTCCTTCCCCAGTGACCCCAGGGGAGAATCCATTTGTCCCTTCCATTTCTAGTGACCCTGTTCCTGTCTCAAAGCCGGCCCTTTGCACCTTCGGATCTGATTCTGCCTCGTCTGCCTCCCTCCCTCATTCAGGCCCCTGGAGATCACATCGGGCCCAGCCGACGGGCATCCGGACCCTCCCTTCCCCCCGACTGGGTCACGTGGCAAGCTCACGGGTCGCAGGGTTCAGGACCGAAGTCCTGATGATTCAGCCTTCTCTCAGGGCATAATGACAGCCTTGCCCCATGGGGGGTGGAGGGAGCCGATGGGGGTAAACTGAGTCACGGCACTCACCCTGAGAATCTAGCCCCCCGCCCTGCTCTGCGTGTGGCAGCAAGGGCTGTGACTTTGTTGCTGGAACCGTGGCTGCGTTTTCGTGCAAGGGGAGAGAAGGCACGATGACCGCCGAGCCTCAGTTTTCCCATCCGGGAAATGGGACCGTGCCACCTTCTCAGTAGTTGGTGCTTGGCCCCAGCAGCGCTGCCTGCAGAGGTGTGTGGCTCACGTGGCTCGGGGCAGCGCGTGGCAGATGTGTGGATGGTGCCCAACTCCAGAGAGAATCTGGACAGCCCCCCCTCCCTACACACACACTCCCACCTGCCTTTGTGCTGGTTTCCGAGGTCCCTGGGGCTCTGGGTGTGACCTGGGCTCTGCCTAGAGTTTGTGATTCTCTGGTGTTGGTTGTGTTGGCCCTCACCTGCCTGGGGTGCAAGGTCACCAGACCCAACCTCTACCACGAGGTGACCCCTGGCTCTTGCCCCGTCCTTCTGACTTAGCCCTCCAGGGTACCTGCTCCCATAGCTCCTGCAAAGGCCCTGGGGTGACGGAGATGGCCTAGCTCACTCCCAACCAATTGCTGGGGTGGTTGGGGGCTGTGATGTTCACAGCCCCCCCCCCCCGGAGTTAGGCATGGGGTGGGGTCACAGGCGCTAGGCCCCTGCAGACACCCTCTCTGTGCACCCCCTTCTGAGGTGACCCCTTTCAGCTACCACCCACCACCTGCCATCCACCCCCTTCCTTTCTCTGGGTCATGGAGCTCTGTGTGTTGTGAGTCCTGTCCTCCAGGGAAGCTGCCAACCATTCTCTCATTGCGGGTTTTTGTTGTTGTTTTGTTTTTAAAAAGCCAGGTGCAGTGGCTCACGCCTGTAATCCTAACTACTCAAGAGGCTGAGATCTGAGGATTGTGGTTTGAAGTCAGTCTGGGCAGGAAAGTCTGAAACGCTTACGTCCAATTGACTATCAAAAAGCTGGAAGTGGGGGCTGGGAATGTGGCTTAGTGGTAGAGTGCTTGTCCTAGCATGGGTGAAGCCCTGGGTTCCATTCCCCAGTACCATATAAACAGAAAAAAGCCAGAAGAGGCACTGTGGCTCAAGTGGTAGAGTGCTAGCCTTGAGCAAAAGAACCTCAGCGACAATGCCCAGGCCCTGAGTTCAAGCCTCAGGACTAGTCCCCTTTCCCCCGCCCCCCAATTTTTTTTTTTTAAAGTTGGATGTGGGCTGGGCCGGTGGCTCAGTGGTAGAGCGCTTGCCTTGCATGCATGAGGCCCTGGGTTCGATTTCTCAGCACCACATAAGCAGAAAAAGCCTGAAGTGGAGCTATGGTTCAGGTGGTAGAGTGCTAGCCTTGAGCTGAAGAGCTGAGGGACAGCGCCCAGGCCCAGAGTGCAGGCCCCACGCCTGACAAAAAAAGAGCTGGAAGTGGAGCTGTGGCTCAAGTGGTAGAGCACCAGCCTTGAGCACAAAAGCTTGGGGGTAGCACCCAGGTCCTGAGTTCAAGTTCCCAAGATCAGCACACACACACACACACACACACACAAAGTCCAACTAATTCCATGCACCTTAGTACTATAATCCGGGGGCTCCAGTCACACATTGTGGTCTCCAGGTCTGTTTTTTCATCTGCCAATATTGCCATCACAACTACCTAGTTAGACAGCGTCGCAGGGCTGCTAGGAGGGCTGGATGTGTTCACAGCCACGGCCAGCACAGAGCCTGGCACACAGTGGGTGCCAAGAGAGGGGGGCAATGCCTTCCATGTCTTCTCCCCGCCCACCCTGCGGGGCAGCTCGGAGCCGCGCTGCCAGGGTCCTTGCCGGGGTCCGGCACACACGGACTCCATCCCACCCAGCCTCCTGAAGCCTTCCGCAGTGTTTGCAACCCACGCTGAGACCAGGCCTGTCCAGCGCGACCCCGGAGGGTCAGAAACGCAGGCCGTGCTGACGTCATCCTTAATGACCCGAGCCCTGGCCCCGCCTCCCACAGAGCTGTGACATCATCCCCACCCCACCCCTCATCTCCTGAGCCACAGAGCTGCTGCTCAGCCTTTATTGATGCTATGGCTACAGTCCCTGGGGATTCCCACCGGGGGTCTTCATTAATAACCACTTAAATCTCCGCATTTACTGGGGAAGGTGATACAAAGGTCTAGAACTAGAAAGGACTTCCAAGATGTCAGCCTCCCCAGCAGCTGGCTGGGCTGGTGATGGGTCAGGCTGATCTGGTGTGTGGGGTCTGGGAACTCTTAGACAGAGGAGCCCCCCCCCATCAGGGGGTGGGGAGAGGAAAGTGGGGGTCACTGCCACCGTGTGGGCCACAGTGGGGCGTGCTGGCTCTCGCCTCCCACCTGCAGAACCAGCACTTAGGCTCAAGTACCAGGTCATCAAGTGCATCTGCTCACTGCAGGCCGACATGGTTCCAGGCTTACTCCTTCCCATCCAGGGCCATTCTACTTGTCCTGCAGCCCGCCGTTTGTCCTTAGGAAGTCCCCAAACCACAGCACCCATGGAAACTAGAACCGCAGCAGGGTACTCGGGCCGCTCACACCACCCACCGGGCGCTTCAGGGAGACACAGTGCTGGCTTGTTTGAGGAAAGAGTTGCTCCGTGGGGCCCTGAGGAGCCGTTAGGCGTCAGGAGGACCGAGACGTGGGGAGGGACGGAAGAGCCTCGTCCTGGGGGCTCCGGCTGGGGTCGCAGAGGTGGTGGACAGGCCACAATAAATAGAAATACATTTACACAGGGGCAGCCTGGACCCAGAGGCTGCCGTCGGAAATTCTGGCACCTTCCAGGAAAAACTAGCCAGGCAGAACCCGAGGCTGGAAGAAGGCTGCAATCTCAGATGTTGGAGGGGCGGGATGAGACTGGGGTGTTCATCCGTGCTCCTCCGTCGTCTAGAGGAGCCGCTTCCCTGCCATAGCTAGGTCCTCGCGGGGCCTGAGGCAGGGTGGTGTGGGACCAGCTCTGGGAGCACCCGGTCTGCTGGCATCAGCTACTGGGGGCCCCGGGGGGGCGGGCAGGGCAGGAAAGTTGCAGGATCTCAGAGCAGGGCGATGGGTTTGTTCCCTGCGGGGCCTAGGTACTGGGGGGCCGTGGGGGCCACCGAGGGGTTTGCGCCGTTGGGAGTGGAGTAGGCGGCGTAGAGGCCCGTCACCTGCACATCCGGGAAGGCACGGTCACTGCAGCCAGGCCCGGGGATCAGAGCTGCGGGTCCCAGGTCACAGCCGAGTGGGGAGTCCCCAAAGGCTCCCAGAGCATCGTCCTTCATCTCCTCCCAGAAGTTCCCTTGCAAAGACAAAAGCATATGGGTGAGGCGAGCTGGCGTTGCTCCCGCGGGGGCCAGGTCCATCCCCACTGGGGATGGCAGTCAAGGTCATGTGGTGTAGAGAGAGCTCAGAGGGACCCCAAGTTCTAGCCCCGGACCCTGCCACCTAGCCATCTGTGTGTGTCTGTCTGTCTGTGTGTGTGTGTGTCTGTCTGTGTCTCCATGTGTCCACGTGTCTATCCTTAGCCCCTCCTAATGGAGATGATCAGAAAATCTACCTCGAGAGAGAGCCAAGGACAAAGCATTCTTTTCCCTTTCCGTTGCACTCCAAGGCAATCCAGAGGCAGAGGCTGATCTAAACAACCCCATCTTCGGGGACACTGGCTGGCACACTGCATTCATTCATTCATTCATTCATTCATTCATTCTCTCCCACTCCCCCCCCCCACCTAGGGTTTGACACATCCAAGCTGAGGCTGTTCCTGCAGGAAGCTTGCGGGTCAGAGAGACTAGGCTTTAGATCTCAGGTCTGCGGCTGAGGACCTGGGTGACCTGGGGTGACCTGGGGTCACCCTGACTTCACTTCCCACTGCTCAGTGTTCTCTGGTGGAACAGGGCCAGGAAGTGGCGGCGGTCTTAGATCACTGGATTTAGTAAGCGTTGAGCATGGACTGGGGCTTTGTATAGAGCAAGAGCTCGTTAGCCGCAGTGTCGGATGGTGGCTGTGGGTGGTGGCAGACAGATGGCTCTTTCCCTTCCTTTCCTTTATGTTTTGGCCAGGCCTGGGGCTTGAACTCCGAGCCTTGAGCTCTCTCTTGGCTCTTTGCTCAAGCATGGCACCCTACCACCTGAGCGCCATTTCTACTTGTAGCTTTTTGCTGGTTAACTGGAGATAAAGGTCTCGCTGACTTTCCTTCCTGGGCTGGCTTTGAACCTCCATCCTCAGGTCTCAGTGTCCCAGAGTTGCTAGGATTGTGAATGTGAGTGAGCCAACGGTGCGGTCTGAGCTCCTCCCCAACATGTTCTTCTCTTTGCTCCCCCCCACTCCCTCCCCCACCCCGGGCCTCACCCTGCAGAGCGAAGTCCATGATGCTGGGGTCCAGGGCGTCCACTTCGGTGCTCATGTCGGCGCTGATGTTGAGGAAGTCCCCGGGAGCCCGGCCCATGGTGGGCTGGGGAAGAGGCCCAGGGCTCAGCGCTGCCAGGGCCTGCAGGGGCGGCGTCTGGGCGGGCGCTGGTGAGTCTGGGGCCAGCTGTGCCTGCTGCTGCACCTGCTGGTGCAGGGACAGGGTCCTGGGTGGGAGCTGCGGGACGGCCAGGCAGCTGCGGGCCACGGCCACCGTGGTGGCGTGAGTGAGCATGGGGGCCTCGGGCTCCCCGGCTTTGCCAGGACGCCGGCAGTTTTCAGGCCGGTCGGAGATGAGTTTGTCCAGCTCCTCTGCAGACAAATAGGAGAGGGGCCTCAGAACCCAGCGTGAGGCCTGGGTTCGAGGCCCATGTGGACTTCACAAGGGTCTCAGATGGTCGGCCCCGTGATGACATCACGATGACGTCATGATGGGAGGCCTGAGGGGAGGGGTCTGTCAATAATCGCCCAGCCCCTGCCCCTCAGCACCGTGTGTGGCTCCCCGGCCTGTAGCCTGTGCCTCCGCTTGATCCTCGCACCAGCCCAGGCAGAGACCCCAGATCTGGAGACTGAGACCAGATTCTTTCACACTCAAGGTGTCCTTGACCTGAAGATGTGTTGCCGTGAGTTCAGAACCGGAGTCTCTTTGATAAAAACAAAAATGACTCTGCCACTGGGCTGTTGGCTATGTCTCGTGGTAGACAAAACAATCTGGGACTGGACCTTTTGGGGAGGGGGGGGTCCCAAGAACTATTTAGGTGACCCTCAGACATGAACACACTTGGGCTGGGAAGGTGGCTTGTGGTAGAGCGCTTGCCTTGCATGCCTGAGGTCCTGGGTTCCATTCCTCAGCACCACGTACATGGAAAAAGCCAGAAGTGGCGCTGTGGCTCAAGTGGTAGAGTGTTAGCCTTGAGCTGAAGAGCTGAGGGACAGCGCCCAGGCCCGGAGTTCAAGCCCCAGGACCGACCAAAAAACAAACAAAAAGAAGACACTTGGAATCTAGAAGGACAGCATCTCACATGAAATCACAGGTCGAGGGACACCCAAGCTGTCCCACAAGGCCAGAGCTCTGTTAGTAGGCACCAGCCCAGGACTGTTGGTCCTACCTATGGCTCCTCTCTACCCCATCTCCCGCCCTCCACGTCCAGACTCAAGCTGGCCGGGAGCCAATGAGTCAGACCGGAGCCCCATTGGACACTCCGTTCCCGTGCCCCTTGCTCCTCCTCACGTTCCTGGACCTGAGAAAAAGCAGCGGATGCAATCTTTCTTTCTTTTTTTTTGGGGGGGGGGTCCAGTCGTGGGGCCTGAACTCTGGGCCTGGGCGCTGTCCCTCAGCTCTTCAGCTCAAGGCTAGCGCTCTACCACTTGAGCGCCATTTCTGGCTTTTTTCTTTTTGCTTATGTGGTGCTGGGAATCGAACCCAGGGCCTCAGGCATGCCAGGCAAGCGCTCTACCACTGAGCCACCCTCCCAGCCCGGCAATCTTTCTTCTTGCTTATAAAAGCCATTTTGCTTATAAAAGACAGTTTGAAAATTTTACAGAAATGTGGAGAATGTAAAAATGATCAGCGATCTCTCCCCTGGTGGGAAGTGGGTGCATTTTCTTCCTCATGCTTTCTCCATTCGTGCAGATTTGTATATGTGTATGCACATCTATATTATTAAATGAGTTTGGGGGTGAAAGGTGGGAAAGTGGGGCACTTTAAAATGTGCTCATGCCAGGCGCTGGTGGCTCACGCCTGTAATCCTAGCTGCTCAGGAGGCTGAGATCTGAGGATCACAGTTCAAAGCCAGCCAGGGCAGGAAAGTCCATGAGACTCTTCAACAAACCATTCAGAAAACTGGAAGTGGAGCTGTGGCTCAAGTGGTAGAGCACTGGACTTGAGCTGAAGAGCTGAGGGACAGCGCCCAGACCCAGAGTTCAAGCCCCACAACAGAAAAAAAAATAAAATAAAATGTGCTCATGCTGGGTGCATGGGTTCAAAAGCTTGTCCCTTTCACTTAGTGCATTGGGAGAATTTATATTCCAAAAATACTTTTTGAAAACTTATATGATACACTACTAAGGTATCTAATTATGAGATACTCAGAATGTTTTCCTTTTTTAACTTCTTACAGTTTTGTAATGGATAGTTTCCGTAAGAAACTTTTTGGTGCTACCAAGTATTGAACCCAGAACTTTTTTATGCTAGGCAAGTGTTCTGCGCTACCCTCTCCCCTCTTTTAGGATTCTACTTTGGAGTGTTTGAACTTGGGGTCTCTCCTTGCTAGGAAGGTGCTCTACTGCTTAGTCATGCTCCCGCCATTGCTTCTTTTTTGTTTAGAGAAAAGGACTCGCCACTGTAGCCCAGACTGACCTAGAATCCTTGATTCTCCTGCCTTATCCTGCTGCGTGCTGAGATTACAGGCATACACTATGACACTGGGCTCCATAAAACGTCTCCCTCCTCAAATTTTTGATTCCCTCAGCATAAATAGTCAGATGTAGAAAAATTGGACCAACCTATAGATACAGCTTGCAGGGTATGTGTGTGTGTGTGTGTGTGTGTGTGAGAGAGAGAGAGAGAGAGAGAGAGAGAGAGAGAGAAAGGGGGGGAGGGAGAGAGTTTCATGTGTAGCCCAGGCTGGCCTCAAACTCATGATCTTCTTGTTTCAGCCTCCTGAGTATTGGGATTACAATGTGTACCACCTTGCCCAGGTCAATTTGCAGGTTTTCAATATATTGCTTTGCCCTTAAAACATGTCACCCAGCTAGGCACCAGTAGCTCATGCCTGTAATCCCTGCTACTCAGGAGGTTGAGATCTGAGGGACGATGTTTGAAGCCAGTTGGGGGAAGGAAACTCTGTGAGACCCTGATCTCCCATTAACTACCAAAAAGTCAGAAGTGGAGCTGTGGTTCAAAGTGGTAGAGTACTAACCTCGAGCAAAAAAAGCTCAGGAAGCTGGGTGCCAGTGGCTCACGCCTGTAATCTTTAGCCACTCAGGAGGCTGAGATCTAAGGATCATGGTTCCATGCCAGCCCAGGCCGGAATGTCCATGAGACCCTTTATCTCTAATTAAGCACCAGAAACCCATACGTGGTGCTGTGGCTCAAAGTAATAGAGCGCTAGCCTTGAACTAAAAGAGCTGAGGGACAGCGCCCAGGCCCTGAGTTCAAGCCCCACGACTGACAAAATAATAAGTCATCCTTTACCCATTTGGTACAAAGGGGCCAATATTCCCCCACCCTAGGCCCCACAGGCACTACTCATTGGTTAAATTTGACATCGCTGCCACCGTGGTCACGAAGTAATCAGTAAAGGCTGTCTTGTCCCATGACTCTGTGCGACAAACTTGGGGTGACAGTGAGATGGGTGGAGGTGGGGAGCCTGCACACCAGGCCTCTGTGTCCCCTTCACCCTGGCTGAGACCCGAGGCAGGTCCTGGGCCGAGCTGGGGGAGAGCGACTGTGTGCACGCGCGTGTGTGGCGTACAGCACGCAGGTGTTACGTGTGATGGGTGTGCACACGTGCGTGTGTGAAGCCACACAGGCGTGCGTGGCTTCTGTGTGAGTGCGGCCTGTGCGATGCCGCGCGGGTGGGTGTGCACGCTCCTGCGCGTGCATGTGCGCCTGCGCGCCGGGGCGTGTCCTGCGTGTGCGCCTGCGCGCCCGGGCGTGTCCTGCGCGTGCGTGTGAGCCTGTGCGCCCGGGCGTGTCCTGCGCGTGCGTGTGCGCCTGTGCGCCCGGGCATGTCCTGCGTGTGCGCCAGCATGCCCGGGCGTGTCCTACGTGTGCGTGTGCGCCTGCGCGCACGTGTGTGCACCTGCGCGCCCGGGCGCGTCCTGCGTGTGCGCCTGCGCGCTCCGGGCGCGTCCTGCACGTGCGCGTGCGCCTGCGCGGGGGGCCTCACCCGGGTTGGCCATGCTGCGGTGATGGCCGCCAGGTCCTTCCTCTTCCACTTGTGCATCTCCTCCTCCATCTTGTCGATGCGCGCCAGGTTCAGGGCCCACAGGCAGCCCTTGCGCGAGGAGCCGCCCAGCTTGCTCTCCACCTTCTCGAAGCACTTGTTCAGGGACAGGTTGTGCCGCACCGAGTTCTCCAGCCGGTCCGGGGCCGTCTGCGGGTGACACGCGGGCCCGGGGCCCCCACATTCCTTCCTCGCCCGGGTGCCCCCCCACCCCGCTCAGCAAGTGGGGTTCCAAGACTCAGCGCCCAGTGGGGGGGGGCGCAGGGAAGGGGTGGGCCCCCAGCCAGGAGGCTACCGCCTCGCGGTTGCTAGGGAACCAGGGAGGGACCGCCCCACGCACGCGCACGCGCACGCGCACGCGCACCGCACCCGCCGCCCTGGGAGGGCCTGTTTGTGCTGAGGCCGCTGAGTGTCCAGCTGCGACGTCCTGCACGGATCAGGCCTCTCTCTCCTCTCTCTCTCTCTCTCTCTCTCTCTCTCTCCTCTCCTCCTCTCTCTCCTCTCTCTCTCTCTCCTCTCTCTCTCTCTCCTCTTCTCTCCTCCTCTCTCTCTCTCTCTCTCTCTCTCTCTCTCTCTCTCCTCTCTCTCTTCTCTCTCTCCTCTCTCTCTCTCTCTCCTCTCTCTCTCTCTCTCTCCTCTCTCTCTCTCTCTCTCCTCTCTCTCTCTCTCTCTCCTCTCTCTCTCTCTCTCTCTCTCTCTCTCTCTCTCTCTCTCTCTCTCTCCTCTCTCTCTCTCTCTCTCTCCTCTCTCTTCCTCTCTCTCTCTCTCTCTCTCTCTCTCTTCTCT